TCGGGTTAGCCACCCCCATAACGCTAAGGACGCTAGGGGGCGCTACAAATGAATAAAATATTAACATGCAACCTCATACTAGAATGACTCTATGCCCAACTCAGTGCTAGATCCCAGGACATCGGAGTAAGCTTCATTGTCATTGCACAGTGAAGTGCAGCAAGATTGTATTTGTACAGTCGTCTGAAAGACTGGCAGAGTGTACGTGGCTGCATCTCTTAGGAGCGCAGCCCTTATTCTTTAGATTCTTGCTGTGAGGCAACCGTGCTAACCACTAAGACATCGTGATGCCAATAACACATTAATGATAACTAGGACATTTTTATGACATTCTGAGGTGTGCCAATGCTCAGAATTACAACATAGGCATTTATGTGAGTGTTTAAAGTGTGGAAGTTTAGCACATAGCTGAGCTAACTACAGTAGAGATGTTCTTAATCATGAACAAAGTAGTTCCAACACACATAAAGTTATGCTGTACACTGTTTAAGAAAATGATTGATATAGAATATTTTTTTTACTGGAATAAAAGTGATTTTTAGAAGATTCTCAACATTTTCAAAGACTGATTCTTGCAGTTGATGTTTCCAAGCCAGACTATACGACTTTCTGCAGTCAACTTCTCCGTTTGAGGCCCTTGGCATTTCTGGATTTTTGGAAGGAAGTGAAAACTGCTTTGCCAAACTGTCTGTCTGGCTGGAACATCATTCAATCCAACAGGAAACAACCATTGCAATTTACGTAAAAAATACTCCTCGATGGTCAAAATTACTCGGCCATGACTGGAGCTATTGCATGCCTACTAAAATGGTGGTTAGCAATAAAATGCCCAGATGTGTTACGTCACATGAGAACTATGTATTCTAAGGTCATGTCATATTGGACAGTGTTTGGGAGTTCACAGTTCGTCAGAAATGTTGCTCCGGCAAAAAAGGTCCTGGATCATAGAATCGTTTGGTTTTAACGAAGGCTACAGCGGACCTTTTCCATTTCCTTTGGGCAGAGTGAGTATCCATGTACCAAGCTGCAATTCACTGTTAGAACCAGTGTATATTTTAAAAAGAAAGATTGATGCAAACATTTGTTAATGGTGTACCAGGTAAACATTGATGAAACCCAAAGTATCTTCCAAATACACGGTCAAGGTGTTGACAAGGAACCTCGAAACATAATCGGATTCAACAGTAGTACAGGAGATATTTATGTCCTGGGCACTGTGGACCGGGAGAAATATGACATTTTGAAGGTAAGGTGAAGAAAAAAAAAACATTTAGGCAATTATTTTCTGGAAAGTTATTATTTTCTTGTGACTTTGGGGTAGGGAAGATACATGGATGGTTTTATAATATACTCTATTTTGCATTTCACCCCAGCTGACTTTTCTGGCACATGATAAAAAAACATATAAAACAGAGTCCCAACTGGCCATCGACATTCACATATTTGACACAAATGACAACCCTCCACTATTTGAACATCAAAAGTATAATATTACTATAGAGGAGTCAACATTACAAGGTAAGATCCTTATCCTAAACTATTTCCTGATGTGTGTTTTGTTACAACACTAAATGATTTTTTTTTTTCACAGTGTCTAAAAGTCAAATAAAATGCCTTGTTCTTGTAATATTTGGCAGGAACTGACTTGATTACTGTTAAAGCAACAGATGGTGACAGCAGTGAAAAGAATAGGAAATTTACATTTAGTATAGACTCGGTCACGCCTACACCAGAAGACTTGGAATTCTTCATTAACAAGGTGCCATTTTCTGGTTATGGAAGACTTTCATTCAAAGGATGTCTGAACTATGAGGTAAAGGTTTTTAATGCTAACCGCTGAGGGTGGGGAGATAAGGATGTTACCCATGTATCTGTTTTATTATTATTTAATTTATTATTATTTTATTTATCCGTTTTATTATTTTATTACAGGTCTCTCTTGTAACTGAGTCCTCGTGACTCAACGAGACTAACCTGTATAAATAAAGTTTGAATGAACGAATGAATCTGTGTATGTGTTAGTACAAAATATCCCATCATCCACAGAATGGGTTTTATTGAACCTTTCAGAAATAATCAGTGTGTTAATATTGACGACTGAATAATTTTTGGAATCAATCCAACTTAAGATAGCCACCACAGCCAACTGACCTCTGAAAACACAAAAATGTGTTAAATGAAAAATATTTACATCTAGACTCATTACTATCTATTGAAATTTTTAATTTATTGATGCTATTTAATGTGCCAGCCTACTGAAATATCAAACAGCTTTTGTTCAAGAATACGTCTATGAAACTGGATAACACACCGTTTTAAAATAATTGATCTAATTTTCTCAGAGAAAAGCCTAAGGAACTTCCAACCTTCTAAAACTAATCTAATTTCTCCCACCAGAAAGATGAGAAATATGTTGTTATTGTGACGGCCACAGACGACGGAAAACCAAAACCACTGTCCAGCTCCTGCACCATCATAATCAACATAGAGGACGGAAATAACCATCTTCCAGAGTTCACAGAACAAACCGTGAGCATCTACTGATTTCAGACAGCTGATGCATTTAAACACGTTTATTACATCATCTTTAACATTTTTGTGTCCTAGCCCCCAGAAGATGTAAAAGAAGGACGGGAAAACGTTTTAGTGTCACGCCTACAAGTTACAGACAAAGACACCAGAGGAACAAGGGCCTGGAAGGCAAAATATAAAATCCTCGGTGACAAAAACAACAATTTCAGAATCGCCACCGATCCAGAGACAAATGAAGGTCACTTGTATGTGGAAAAGGTATTTTTGTGTTCTTACCCTGTGCTATAGACAGATCTCCCTCAACCTTTACCCTGATACCTTGAAAGATGCATGAAATGTGATGCATGTTTTAAATAATGTTTATAACAAGCTTTTTAGAATCTTGAAGAAAACCGACACGTTATTGTTGGATTGCTGTCAGTCTGACTCATCTGGGATACTTGAGGCTTCATTAACATTATTAAATAATTATATATATATATATATATATATATATATATATATATATATATA